CTTCAGCGCTGCAAACTTGGTTGGCCACCAACGCTGCACACGAAAAATGAAAAGCCAAAAGTCCCTACCCGATTTCCCTACTGGACTTATAGACTTCCTACTCTAGCCTAGACCTAGACTGGACTGACTGGAGCTACCGGTACCGCTGCTGTTTCGGCCTCTCGGCCTCTACCGGACCCGGCTATAGGCTATAGGACCGTATAGCAGTATAGGCCGCTTAGGGCTTGTCTGTCCTAGGGGTAGCCCGGGCCTGCTATAGGCAGTTAGGGTAGCTGTAGGAACTTGGTTAGTACCAGGTCTGTATTTTTCCCAGAAATTACAGATCTGTCCCTCACGAATTTCCACACAGGCGGATCTCTCGGTTAGCCCTCAGCCAAACAAAATTGCAAAACTAACCCTACAGGTTAGTGTACAGCCTCGCTGTCAATCTCGGCATCAGGAATCAGCAAGTCATTGCAATCAATATGTTCAAGGTAGGACGTAGAGCGGTCCTCTGGGCACTATGGAGACGGCGCTGCACCCACGAAATGGAAGGGGTGAGACTTGAAGGCCCAGAATTCATCGAAAGCATAATACAGCAGATTCAAACGGAAATAACGGCCAAATGGGATGCGGTCAAATCACACATTCAAACACTTCAAACACAAAGAGACATCAACCAAAAAGTACAAGAATTCTGCTCATGCTGGCTGGGTGGTCCTACCGGAGGAAGAATTGGGAAGGTGGAAAGGAAAGGAGAGCCAAAGGAGACAGGAGAGGGACAACAGGGAGCAGAAATAGGAAGAGACTACTACCTGATATTCAATGAGTGGGCTAAAATAGATGCTGAGATTCCCCTGAGACCCCCGAAGAATTCCCCGACCCCTTCCCCCCCCCCCTCCAACTGTCTGGTGGGAATGCAGTGGTATGGCGGGTAGAAGGGTAACGAGAGATCAAGAGGCAGTCTACACCCAGCAAGGAGGAGGCAGGGGGACTAAGCTGCTCCAGTATAACACATTGATCTGACAGCAAAACAACCGAGAGGAGCAGACTGGTGAGGGAGGAGGCAGGGGGACTAACCCGCTCCAGTATAACACATTGATCTGACAGTGAAACAGCTGAGAGGAGCAGACCGGTGGTCATGAGGGTCAGCAACGGACTGACAGACTAAAGATGTAGGCTATCTTAGGCTGGGGTGAGGGAGAGTACATCTCAAATAAGGCTCTGAAATCCAGAGCATTTCCAGTCCCTCTTCATGTCCTGCTCAGTCAATCCCCTGGAATCCAGGGTAATCAATGCTGGCAGGATTCCCTTCACTGTTTCTCTAAGGTTCTCTGATCACATTCCGTATAAGGGACGCTGGACCCGTTTTCCAGCAGGTGACGCTCCCCACCAATAGATGGAACCTCTCCCCGGGTGGTAGTGGTGTCTGCTCTTATCAGCACCACTATCATCAGTGGGGGKGTTTAAAAAAAAAAAAAAAAAAAAAAAAAAAAAAAGGAGGTGGTTGAAGCATTGAAAAAAAACTGAGTAGCAGCAAGGAAATGGAAAATCCAAAGAGGGACTGTAGTAGGCGAAGACAGGCGAAGATGGGGGATCAATGATCTGATAGCCAGATTGAGACTGCTGATTGGGAGAGGTAAGGGGGCTCAGATCTGAGAGTGCTGAGTAGGCCGGACAGGCAGAGCCAATCTGGTACTAGACCAGTGCTGTAGTGGGATGGGATTACAATGGAACAAGGCGGCCACTTTGGAAGCAACCTGCACAGACTTACGAGTGAGAGTACTGGGGACTGAGTCGGAGAAGAACTGAGAGGGGGTGTGAAGGGAGAAGTCGGGGATGACAGGGTGGGTCACCGTGTAGAGATCTGTGAATGCGGGTCCTGAGGCACATGCTGCTCCCCACGAATTGATTGGATCTGTTATAATTGCACTACGGGGCACGATACAGTTTGCAATTATTGCACTTCAGGAACTCTACCTGGACAGAAAGCTGTGTTGTATACATTGCCCAAACCGCAATTCGAAACTGTATCTTGGCCCATAGTGCAATTATTATAACTCATTTTTGTGACTCCCGCATAGTCCCCCCCCCCCACCAAAAAAAAGAGGGGTAGGCGCCAACTCGGCGGGGCAGAATTCCATATTCGGGACTTAGATTACTGAAGGTCCCAGAGACAGATGCCCAAGGAGTGGGGGCATTCCATCTCTGATTTAACGGCTCAGCGGCTGACTGCTGGGATGATGAGGTTTTCTTCTCAGAAGACGCCCATTCTGCAGCTGTTGTCATTCACACGCAATGTCTGAGCTCAGCCCCCAATTCCGGAGACTTCAGATGAACATGATTATGGAATCTCCTGTCTCTGAGGGCCATCCAGAGCCTCCAGAATCCTATGCCATTGGGAGGAATCTTGAGGGAAATCTCTTTACTTGCCTTGCCCAATAAACCTCAGGCTGTGTTGTCTCTCCCAGTAATGATGAAGTCTTTATTCCGTACTTCTGTGTCCCTGCCATAAATGTGCAGCCAAATTGAGCGTACCTCATCCCAGAAGTCACGGGCGATGACACACACCCGTCGCCCGCCATACTAGATGAATTGAGTCCCCAAGGGTGGAGTGGGGACACACGTCGCAGGTGCAGTGGTGGTGATGTCCATGCCTTGCTTAAGCACCATGCAGCTGTGGGTGTGCTGGAGTGAAGTTGGAGCCATTGAAGGCCACCCACCGTCACTTCAAGACACCCAAGGATCATCCGGATGTAGAAATGAATCCATTCAGGAGAGATGGGGCGTTGTGACGCCCAACCTCAAGTCCAGGGCGGCTTCCTGATTGGAGTGGGAGTAGGCCCGGAAGCGCAGCGAAAGGGGTGACACTGTGCCAAGGATTTTAGGAAAGTGGGGGTGGTGTCTGCTCTTATCAGCAGCACTAACACTGATGGCAGTGTTGGTAAAAAAAAAAAAAAAAAAAAAAAAAAGTCCAAGGTTGGAACTGGGATCACCTGGGTCAAGGACAGAAACGCAATTGATTTGGAAGGGTTACGTGGTAGTCTCAAGACACAGTGGGGTCCACTGTGTCCTGAGTGGGGTTTGATCAATGCCGACACTCAGGCCAGGCCCGCACGTGGTGTATGCAAGGAACACTGTGAATGTCTCGCCGTTCTGACACGTGGCTCCTGTGGAACTCGCAGAGCTCCGAATCTGAGGATGAGGGCCTTAAGTGTAGGCTCTTTGCGCGTAGCTTGGTTTTGTTACGATGTCGTCAGACAAACCCTCTTGCTCGGTAGACGTAGTCCTGTATGCACTCGGAGCACAGGTTAGGCGGCACGCTCGCCAGGGGATGACGGTTAAATTGTTAAATGGGAGGAGGAGGTAATGAGGGGGAAATCCCGTTTGGATGGCCACGAACCCCAACGTAGTGAACACTTGCAATCTTCGGTTGACCGGGTACTGTATGGGTCGGGGGTTCCGATCCAGGGCCCGCTGAATATCCCACTCAGATAGACGTTCTTCTTCAGGTTGACGGGGGAATCCAGGAAGGCTGGGTCGAAGGTGAGGAAGAAAGTATTCCCCCATCTGGAATCTCAGATATTCACGCTCAGTGAGCCGGTTTGGAGATCTGGGCTCCATGGCGGAGCAATACCTTTCCCATATCCCCCGGAACACCTTGCCATCAAACAGGAGTCGGCAGTTTTCCATCCTCTAGCACGTAGCAATGGTTCTTGAGTTGCAATAAGGAGAGGAGGAGGACAGATACGGTGGGTTGGCTCCTTCGTACGTGCGCTTACGTGGCCAGCAGATCCGGAAGGATGGCTCGTAACGTATCCACCCGTACGCAGGATTAACAGTCGGCCATAAGACCAGGAAATCACATCATTCAATCACAATGGTGTCCTATGTGCAGATCGCGCATACACACAAGCCGTTGCACTTTACTTCGATCTATCAAACAAGCAGCGCCCATACATTCAGTCATTCAGAAGAGGCCATCGAGCAACAACCATCCATTAATTGGACAAAATTGAGAGAGGGATAGAAAAGTGAGAAAAAGGGTCCGCCTTATCCAGGCGAAGAGATTGAAATGAGGAAAGGTCAAAGTTCCACTTTTTTTTTTTTTTTTTTTTTTCAAACAAAACAGAGGCTCCATCTATTGGTGGGGACTCTGGGGAGCGTCACCTGCTTGCAAAAGTTAGAAGATAAAAAGGAAGTTAGAAGAAGAGAAAGGAAGGAACACAGAACGCCATCAGGTCTCCTCACACGCCCTCACTCTCATCAATTTGTGTTACCACGTGCTGATTGAGCGCGGGGTCGGAGCTCAAATTTTTGAGCGGGCTTTGAGCGGGCGTGGGAATATGTTTTTCCCCGGAAAATAATGAGCAAAAAAAAAACAAAGTACAGGGTTGTAGATATTTTCAAGATCTACAACGTGATGTTTTTTATTTTATTTTTTGAGCTTTTTCTTTATTTAAAAAAAAAAAAACATAAAAGAAGAAAATAACAAAAAAAAAACAATATGAAATGGGTGGGTTTTTCTTTTCTTTTTCACAGAGATTTTTTTGCAGCAAAAAATTTCAAAAATAAATAATAAAAAATATAGTCTTGTACAGGGTAACCGGTGTTCGGGACGGGTCGAACGCCCGAACCCGAACGCCCAAACGTATGGGACAACCTGTAGTGCGGTCATACATTGCGTGGTGGTCACAGTGGTTCTGATGCTATGGATAGGATGCTAGTTAAATGCGCTTTGTGGTTCCCTCAGGTGGATACTCTCGTTCGGGTTATAGTGTATGTGGACGAGCAGGATCGCATCCAAATTTTTGTACGAATAGATTAAGACCTAGTTAGGATAAGGGTTAATGGTTTTGGCTTGTGCGTATTGCCTACGGATGAGTGCTGTTGGTATTTCTGGGGCGGCTCTTCTTACTCGGTACTTAGTATGGTGTAGGGCTATTGAAATCCGCGGCGCTGTTAGTGCAACCCCTTATCATTGGATCTTTACGTCTGGGAGTTGGATACTCGTGCTCACGGGACTCCTGGTTGGTTGGTTTGGACGATCAACGATGGCATCATCTGGTAATAAGTGCTTCAATTGCGGAGGTGAGGGACATTTCGCGAGGGAATGTCCTCCCAGCGCCAGCAACAGCCTGGTGGTGGAACCTCAAATGCATCTACTCCTGCTAGTAATCGTTACTGGACTCCTAGGCGTAATCAGGATGATAACGAGGAGTGCGAATTCTCGAGACAGCTCATTCAAAAGAAGAGAGAGGAGCAAGCGCATAAGCGAGAGATTGACGAGAAGCGCAAGATGGACGAGCTAATCAAGCAGGAGATTGAAAGGAATTCGGAGGCGCTTGAGGCGAGGGTTTTGTCTAAGATCGGTCGGCAGTATCTCGTTTCTCGGGAGGAGGCAAGACGGGAGGAGGCCCGATCTCCAGTGTGTCGTACTCCAGGCGTTGTCATTCGAGAGAGAGAACGGGAGGTATATGACTATGAGAATCGGGGCATTGAAGATATTGAAGATGAGATAGCTAAACTCTATGAGATTAGAGAGATGAAGAAGAGGAAGGGCAAGGAACCGGCGAGTGTGGGTCGTAGGCCGTTTCGACAACCCGTCTTCCAGAGGGATGACGGTTTAGTGGTTGATACTCCTCGGGCTGAATCTTCAAGGAGAGCGGAGGAGCGGCAACGAACGAAGATTCCGGCCGGAAGTGGTCCAGAGGGAATCCTGGTGTATGTACTTCAGCACCACAGGCTGCTTACTGGCAAGAACAAGGAACAACTCAAGGCTATTTGCGCAGCGGAGGGCATCGAGTACACTACTAAATCACCGACCATTGAAAAGATAATTGAGGCAAGGGTTAAGCTTGCCTATGAAGGTTCCGTTCCATCGTCTTCTGATCCAGCTACGCTGGATGAGGAGGAGACTCCTGGCAATTGAATGAGTCATTTCGTGCGTGTTCGGCTTTGGCAGAATCTGGTCGATTGTATGCACTTACGCAATCAGCTTTGGCATGATCGTAAATCCTCTCACCTTCGACTGCTATATGATAAGTGTGCGACCCTCTGTTTTGTAGCTCAGGCAATTTTAGGTGAGGTACTATGGATGGGTAAGTTCGTATCTCTGCTTCTCAATGTCAGCTGGGATTCCTGGGACATTGGTCCCGTCGTGTATGTTTTGACGTCCCCTGGACTAGGGCACAGTATGTGGGGTCATCTACACGTGGTATCTATATAAGGTGGGCATAACATATTCGAACGGTTAAGGTTAAGGGACTTGGGGTCTATCCTAGATTGTATAGATGGCTGCAGATGATTGGTATCGGGCAATATCTGAGTGTACCGCTCGTGAATGGTGTAACTTCTGTGCAGTCTGTTAAGTCAGTAATTATCAAGAATTTCTCTCTGATTCTGAATTATAGGCGATCTGTGCGGCGAAATGCTCGCAATTCTAGGCCAGGAAGGATTAAGAGACGAGGGAAGCGGATTAGTGATACTGACGTTGGATTGGTTAAAGTCAGGGTGATTGGTGACCAATGGTCGGATAGTGTCTTGTCATTGCTAAGGCAGGAGGTGCTACTTAACAAAAGGAAGCTTTTCATTGAATTTTTTGCTGGCAATTTGTGGCCTGATGGTTGGCCTTTGTTGAGAAGATGTTTTGGTCTCACTCTGGTTAAGTTGGGTTCCTTGAGAGTACCTCTGAAGGATGCTAAGTCGGTGCTTTAAAAAGGAGGGGTTTGGGAGTTGGGTCCAATTCTTTTCACTCCTAATGGACAGGCTATCCATAAGGGGCAGCTCAAGTTGCTCCTCCTCCAACCATGGAGACGACGCCTGTTAAGGTTTAATCCTGTTTCATTGCTTGTTCGCTGGTTCAAGGGTGCCCGCGAGTTCTCCGGCAAACAGACTAGGGCGGTCCTTAAAAGCATTTTGGCTCGTGCCATTAAGCGTAGAACAGGTATCGATGTACGTCACCGACTGGTTGTAAAATTGCGCTATGATCATCGAGTAGATTCCGTGAAAGTTCATGCTGTGGTTTTGAGGGTGCTCTCGATATCGACATTACCGCAGGCGGTTGCAGGACTACTTAAAAGGAAGATTCACTTTGTTTGGCGTAAAAATGTATCGGTTAGTGGGTATTTTCACACGGTGCAGAAGTTGGGTAAAAGGAGTGATGATTGGGTCTGTAGTTGCCACCTCGAACCTGGGTGGGAGCATTCTGGGTTGCTGCCCGGTTGCATGTTATGACCCGGATAGGAGGTATACCAGGGATACCTGACCTTCTCCGGAACTCTCGTAATGTACCGAGGGTGCTCCCTAAACATGGGTTTTTGGAACTGGGTAAACAGATTGTTAGGATAGCAAGCTACCTAAGATCTTCGTATGTCGTGGAGAAGCGTGAGTTGGAAGGATGTTGGAATTTACGATTGGTGGCTGGGGATGAAGCTTACTTGACTTTTTTGAATCAGTGGTTCCTTCGTCTCAAACCTTTCCTCTGTATCCCGATCGATAGGAACACAACGGATACGCTGGTTGTATGTCCGGTTCTGTATAGGCACTATTTGCACATGTCTCTCACTCGGAACTCGTCGTTTCGAGCTGTGAGCTGTTGGGAAGATGAAGTGCTTTTCCGAATGAGGGAGGTTTTCTTGGACTCGAATTTGCTCAGGCTCGGCAAGTGGGATGCTGGTGGACGATTTGGGGAAGCCTATGTGCTGCCTAAGCACAAGGACTTGTCCAGATGGCGTCCCATTTCACCCACTTGCGGTGAACCCACTAAGTTAGCTAGTTCCAGGGTAGCTACTGCTTTGAATGCTCTTCTGTTTGCCTTGCCGGCTAATACGGGATTCAACCTCAAAGCACTTATGCATTTTCTGCCTGGGATACAGGCTATGAACCGAGACTTTCGCCAGAGGTACTATCACGATTTGGTGATAGGATCGTTCGATGTCAAGGATATGTTTGTTTCGCTCCCCCACGCGAAGGTTATCCAAGCTGTCGACTGGATTACGGCCTACTATGATAATTAAGGATGCAAGGGGGTGCAAGTGGCTAAGAGAGGAAAGAAAGCCTGGTTGTCATACAGTGGCGTTAGGAATGAATGTCTACTTGTTTCTCTCCATGATGTGAGGATGATGGTGGGTTTTGATCTTTGCTTTACCTTCATCCGGGCTGCAGGCCAGCTGCTCAGACAAGTGGTTGGTGTGCCTATGGGGAAGTCATCCAGCTGCCCGCTAGCTTGTAATTTGTGCACTTACGCTGAGTTTTCATTTCTCAAAAACCTCGGAGCGGATCGCTGTTTAGTGCGTGGGTTTCGAGTGGTTGATGATGTTACTATTTTTATTGCTGAGGTTGGACATCATAGCCATGAAAGGGCAATGCGTATTTTGGACCAGTTTTCGCAATGCTATGGTTCGAACCTGCGGCTTGTTCGTACGGATAATGACCAGAGCAGTTGGGTTTTTGCTGGGATGGTAGTTTCCAGGTATGGTGCTGAGTTACGGACAGTAGCTATTGTCAAGAATGCAACGACAATCTGGGATTCGGGTAGTTTGGTGTTTGGTGGGTTTTAGGACTTCAGCTCCTATTCCAGCAAGAGAGCTAAGGCTGGTGCTGTTACCAGCACCTTGCATCGGGTTCACCACCTTTGCTCGGATGTGTGGGGTTTTCATGAATGTATCTTGGCAGTGAAACGAGAGTTGGTGATCAGGAATTACCCGCCCAAGTTCATCGTGTGTGAGGGCATTTCGAACCGGGAAGATCGCGCCTCATAGGGCATACTCACACACGGTGAGCAAAGTTGCAAAATCTGCAATTTTGCAATTTCGAATTTGAGATTTATGTGTGCGGCGTACTCACACACCAGTAGCACAATAGCAAAATGTGAATGAGACATGGCCGCGACTTTCTCTAACAAGGGTCCATTTGGTATCAGCGTGGTCACACAGCTGATAGCAGATGGTGGAATTTTTTTTATTGGGTTTTATGTTTTTTTTTTTTTAATTTCTTCTTCTAAAGTTTCGGCCTGCACAGAGGCGCGATCTTCCCGCTTCTCCAACCTTTGTCACATATGGCGAGCAGACCAGGTGCTATGCACCTATGAAAGTGGACCACTTGCAAGACTGGCTGTGGCGGGAGTGCAGTGAGAGCACGGAGACCAGGAAGCAGGGGGGAGGCCGGGCGGAACGTGCTCCTATTCTCGCGAAGGGCCTGACTATTCTTCCGGAGGGCCAGACTATCCGCATGCGGAAATGGGGGAGAAACGGGCGGAAGGGGAGCGCAAGCGCGTATGGGACTCACCTGGGGGGGCAAGGGACTCCACCACTAGGGACAAACCCCTTACAGACAGGCAATCTGCTGTGCATAATGCCAAAGATAGTACAGCCATTGTATGACTTCACGGCTGGAGACCAAACGTAGCATTTTTGGACGATAGTGGGCAAGAAATTCCGTTTCGTGGCCTGCGGAGGTTCTAGTTGTTTTTTTTTTTGAAGAAAATCAATTGCGAATTTGCTAGGACCTCTAGAGGTCCTCGCAATTTGCTGCACCCCGCGGCCCAGCAGGCCGCTGACAAATACTACATGCTTTGTGATTTTGGTGGGGGCGGGGATAATGTGTGACTGCAAAAGAAGAGCAGATTTTGCGATTTTGAGAATTAGACCCCTAGTGTGAGTATGCCCTTAGTAAGGTCTTTAGCCACAAAAAAAAAAAAAAAAAAAAAAAAAAAACCGGGTGTGAGTGCGCGTGTGATTGGGTTGCATATCCTCTGTGGGAGAGTGTTGGATTTAGTGAGTGCGCCAGACCAACCCGGGTGTGAGTGCGTGTGTGAGTGGATTGCTTGTGGTGTGTCGGAGAGTTTTGGCTTGTATTAGTGAGTGGGTCTTCAGGCAACACGGGTGTGTGTGCACCGTGCACGAGACCACCACGGGTGTGAGTGCCTGTGTGAGTGGGTTGCCTGTGGTGTGTGGGAGAGTGCTGGCTTTAGCCTTTAGACACTGCTGTTACACTATGGGGGTGGGGGAAGATGAAAAAGGAGGCCCAGTTTCTGGCAAATGCTCGGTCCTTGTGTTAGCCCAGGGGACCTGCCAGTCACCCAGGCACGACGCCCAGGGGAGTCTGGCGCCCGGGATACCCAGGCATGGGAGAAAAAAGAGAAGAAACCCAAATCCGGGCTCTTTTCTTTTGGTTTTTTTTTTTTTTTTTTTTGGCTTCTCTTTTCTTTTTTTGAGTGTTGGCTGTCAAAGGGGGGAAAGGGGGGTATAATTATTTTAAAAGGGGCTAAAGGGGTTAAAAGGGGAGTGCCTTGGTGTGATTCGGTTATTTTCTTTTTCATCTTCAGTTACGTGAGGATTTTTTTTTTTTTTTTTTTTTTTAAGACAATTTATTATAAGCTGGGAACTGGGCCCTGCGTCCCTCACAAAGAGTGCCGCAGCTATCGAGCTGAGCAAGGCTCTTCGGCCAAGCAAAGCCCGAGCCAGGGTATTTGAAACAGCCCAGCAATCCTAAGAAAAGAAAAACCTACCAAAGGTCCGAGACCCTAGATACACTAATTAGAGAGGGAGCCGTAATAGAACTAACTAACATTAATACAACCCCAGCAAAAATCCAACGCTATATTCAAAACTCTATAGCCTAAACAATCGTCCAAGTCTCTAAACTAACTATCATTTAACACAAGGTCAACAAAGTTCAAACCCCAATCATATATGTGTCCAACCAAACCCCAACCATGTATGCATCTAACCAAAGCGAAATCCTAGACACGTAGAGAACCAGTAAAGAAAAATTTCACAAAGAATTACGCAATCTCTCTCTCTCTCTCTCTCTCTCTCTCTCTCTCTCTCTCTCTCTCTCTCTCTCTCTCTCTCTCTCTCTCTCTCTCCAACGATTAGCGCGGCAAACACGCAGAAGCAACACCAACCACGGTAACGTTTCGCAAACGACAATACCCCACACTCAATTATCTGTCAAGCACTGAAGGT